CAAGTGTACTCTTTCCCGTGTCTTAAGTCAAAGAGCCAGAGTAAGCGTACGTACCTCTTCTTTGGCCCACCCAGCAGTATTTTTGAGAGTTTCTCCAGCCTGATTAGCCATTCCCCTGTAATCCGCATTGGCGATTTTGTCGCGTACCTCTGCGGCCTTCAACATCACAGTATTAGTGAATGTCTCAAAAGCTATGATAGACTCACTTACTTTAGCTCTGGCTGCCTCTGCCATCTCTTCTCCTGTTTCACTCACTTTTCTTTTAGCCGATTGTACGTACTCGTTACCAGTGATCCCTTCCAGGATCTCGCCAGCCTTCAAGCGTCACAAATTAGAATTCTCGAGTAGTTTATTCAGGGGTATCCCATCGTGTATAACGTCGAAGAGTCAGAAGTTAGAATATCAAGCTATTGAACGTCGTACTTACCTCTTCCTGAGCACCCTCTGCAGCGCTTCTCAGAGTTTGTCCAGCTTGGTCCAATTTTTCTTTGGCCATTCCCGAGTAATCCGCATTGGTGATTTTGTCTCCGAACTCTCTAGCCTTCAAAATCACAGTGTCAGCTCAAGAATTTTTCTGGCTATGATACATTCACTTACTTTGGCTTTAGCTCCTTCTGCTGCATCTGCAACCCCTTCTCTTGCATCACTCATTTTTCGCTTTGCCCCTTCCACGTACTCGTTACTAGTCACGTCTTCCAGAAGCTCTCCAGCCTTCAAGTATCACAGATTAGAATTTCCACAGGCTTCTTTGCAGAGTAAGTTTGCATAGGCTCTGTTGAGAGTAAGTTTACATAACTTCAGCAGCCTAAAACCTTACCTCGTCTCGAGCTCCTTCTGCAGCATTTCTAAGCGTTTGCCGCTTGGCTATTTTTCTTTGGCCTTTCGCTGTAAACCGCGGTTCGAAACTTCGTGTCCTGTATCTTCGACCTTCACCTTCGTTTATGTGGGTACTATATTATGAATCCACACATTACTTTGCTTGGCCTCTTCCTGTGCATCTGATAGCTTCTCCTGATCACTCAATTTTCTTTTTTGCGCTTAGAACGTTGTTATCACTTATCTGTCTTCCCGAGCTTCAGGCCTAAGCTCAACATTTAGGATCTATGGAGTATGATCTATTCAAATCCCGGTATTACACTTTCTTCGAGCTCTTTCGGTCAGCACTTTGGACAGTGTTCAGCAACCGCTCAGTTTTTCTTTAGACTCTTCGGCCAGTTTCGACGTGTCTCCTAGGCATGCTCAGTTTTTCTTTAGCTTTCCTGCGTTTCTTCCAGTGTCTCCTGATCGCTCAGTTTCTTTTAGATCTTTCGCAGTATTCTTGACGATGCTCAGCTCGCCAGCTTTTTCCTTAGGCTATTCCGGCCATAGCATTCTTGACGTGTTTCTCAGCATCGCTAGCCGTTCTTCGCCATCTCCTTGTAACACCGTTTCTGTCAGTGAGCTCATCTCAGCTGCGAGGTACGTTCAGTTTAGCTTTTCGGTATGATGATTTCCAAAAGATCCTATACGCGCATACGCTTCCGTGGCAGAAATTAGAATGCCAATGTGTAAAATTCTACTATGAAACCAATTACCTCGTCTCGAGCTCCTTCTGCGGCATTTCTTATGGAGTTTCCAGCTTGGTCCAACTTTTCTTTGGCCATTCCCCTGTAGTCTGCGTTGGCGATTTTGTCTCCGATCTCTCCAGCCTTGAAAACCACAATACTGAGCGTATCAGGAGCTATGGTACATTCACTTACTTTAGCTCTTGCCGCTTCTGCGGTATCTGCTATCCCTTCTCGGGCATCACTCATTTTTCTCTTTGCCGTTTTCACGCACTCGTTATCATTTACGTCGTCAAGGAGCTCTCCAGCCTTCAAGCATCACAAATTACTTTTCTCTCGTGTATTCTCTTTGAAAATTTACCTGTTCTTGAGCTCCTCCCGCAGCTCTTTTGACTTTTTCTCCAACTTCGCCCACCTTTTCTTCGGCCATCTCTTGGTAATCCGTTCCAGTGATTTTGTTTCCGATCTCTCTAACCTTTAAGAGAACAGCGCTATGGATACTGAAGTTATGATTCACTCACTTAAATTAGCTATGGTGATTCACTTACTTTAGCTATGGTATTGTGCGCTGCATCTGCCAACCACATTCCTGGTTCACTCAGTTTTTTCTTAACCGCTTCGATGTACCCGTTTTCATTCAGCTCTTCCAGGTACGTTTCACCCTTCAAACATTAAAAATTAGAGTTCTGAGTAGATTATTTCTAGACGGATCTACACCTTATAGAATGCTAGAAGGCGCACCGAACTCCTGGCTTCAAAGAGTCAGTATGCTTAGCTGTAACTTCTATGACGGTACTCACCTCTTCTCGAGCTTCTCCTGCAGCATTTCTGACCGTTTCTCCAGCTTGGCCTAGCCTTTCTTCGGCCATTTCCTTGTAATCACCACTTGGCGATTTTGTCTCCGAACTCTCCAGCCTTCAAAACCACAGTTTTAAGCGAACTGGAATTGGATATGGTACCAGCGCACATCGGGGATTCCCCAACGGGGAGGCGGGGGGGGGGTAGCATTTGGGCTGAGAAATTTTTTCGGATTTGCGTTCAAGGACAGTAAAGGATGGGGCTCTTGATCGGGTGAAGAGAGTGCTTTCTTTTCGTGGTTTTCCTGTTTCATATGCAGTTAAAATTAGGAAAACTTCCGGCGAATTCCGGAAAAAGTGGCAGAAAGTTGGGAAAATCTAGGAGTGGTGAGTAGGACCTTGGGGAGGGGGTCCCATTTAGATGGAGGCCGTACCACCCCTAAAAAGTGCCCTATATGGTATTCTCACTTACTTTAGCTCTCGCTCTTTCGGCTGCTTCTCTCATGCCTTCTCCAGCTTCACCCATTTTTCTCTTAGCCGCTTGCACGTACTCGTTGTCATTCACATCGTCCAGGAGCTCACCAGCCTTCAAGCATCACCAGTTAGAGTCTCCGGTAGATAATTTCCAAAAAAAAATATCCGTTACCGCTGCATCGAATTTCCGGCGCCACCTCTTCCCCGAGCGTTTCCTGCACCTGCATTTCTGACCGCTTCCCAGCTTGTCCTAGCTATTATCTGCGCCGCCATATTCCTGTAATTCCTGATTGTACTTTTGTCTCCTATCTCTCTGGCCTTCGAAATCTCGAATTTTAAATGAACTGCTGCTGAAAGCAGAGATCGACGACTCCACAGACTTTTTAGCTCGGGCTTCCCTGTTGCATCCCTGGCTATGCCTTCTCTTGTGCTTCATCCATTTTTTCCCTTAGCCGGCTTCCACTGTATCGTGGTTATCTTCATCTCTTTCAATTTACTTATTTCGCACCTGGAAACAATAACAGGAATTGAAGTTTTACTTTTTAGCAGGAGTTGGTATGTTCTCATTAGTGGCAGCGATCAATGTCTTTACAGCAAGCATCGGCTACACACCCTTATTTCTGTCTTCAGAGAGTGCGTTTTCCCTGACATGCATATTATGCGATGGTCTCATGAGCCGTCAATTCTTTGTCCTTTCTTGCCATCTTAGTACAACACAAACATTTTCCGCTGACGTCTCCCAATGAGCTTTTCTTTTCTGATGTCGCAAGCCTTGGAAAAAGCAGGCCTACGCCTTTAGAAATGTCTATTTGGTATCACCCTAATACATAAAGATGGATAAAGCGACTTCGTCTGTTTCGTTTGCGTAGTTTTATGTCTCCGTGCCGGAAATTCGGTCGACCTGAACAACGATGTGAGGAGGCGTCGAGCTCAAGGCTCGTTGGATGGGGTTTTAGGGCATGCGGAACAAGCTAAATTAACAAAGCACAACAATTGACCTCATCGGGATAGCTCCTGCGGGGGTACGCAACTTCGCCGACACACCTCTCAGGTGTTCTGTCTCAAAAAGATGTCATAAATGCCGCTTCTCGGAGCAAGTTTTACTTTAAGGTTCTAATGCCCGCAGCCATTCAAAGTTGTTCGGTAATTTGGTCCTCCAGTCAGCTGGCACTCCTTCTTGTTACCCCACCTAGTGGACAAGAAAATCGAAAAAGAAACTTTTCGCCAACACCCTTGAAAACACAGACCTTCCCTGTTTAGCCAGGTTGGGGGCGGGACCGTTGGGTTTTTACGAGGATCTGCTTGCAGAAAACCGAGTATAGGCGACGAGATACGTTGCGCTGCCCAGGAAACGCTAATTAGCGACAGCCTGACAATTTGTACCACTTTAAAATGTCGGACGGAAGTCAGCACTTTGTCACTACGGAACCATAAACGCCTCGTCAATCCTTACCGTTGTCAGGCGAACCGTTTTGTTTGGGAAAATCGCAGTGAATGGAAAAGCTTATTAATTGGCTGGCCTGATTAGGATGAAGTGTTTATCCTATCTTTTTTCGTCAAGACCCGTTTTTAAGAGTGCGATTGATCTCTCTAAAAAAGCACTGAAATTCTTTATTTCTCTAGGGACCACTTTGTTTTGATCGCAGCGTGGAGTGTTCTTGTTACAAGATTGGGAAAACAAAGGCGAGTTTAAGTTAGAAGGATTATAGGGGTGCTTTGCATGTTGTACTTGTAGTTCCGCGCTCACACAAACTTGTTAACTCGCTTGGCCCACAGACCACGTTTCCAAAACATCCGCGGTGTGCCGGACTCAAGGGGCTGCCCAGACCCGGATAACATCACTTACGCTGGAATCACCTTAATAGGCACGGTCAAAGTTGTTGCGAGACCTGCCACAGATGGGTGTGAGAGTTGCCATCTACGAAGGATTCATTTTGAAGTGTGTGTAGCTTCGGGTGCCAGAACACTCCAGACACCGTCTGACTAGAACTACGGACACAAAAAAAAGTGGACTAACGTGCTAGGTCGAGTCAGGTAGATCGCCGAGTATGGAATTAGCGCAAAGTGAGAGCAAAAAAACTGCCAGTTGGGCGCGGCAGCTCATGCTCCGATAGGTGAGCTAAGAGAGACAAAGAAAAGGTATTACGTCTGTTTAACGCCGTCTCAGTTAGTGCACTCCGAAGAACCTCAGGTATATACATAATAGCTGAATTCTTTCGATGGTCGCAAACAATTAACGAGGTTGTTCTGATGCCGAAAGTTGCGAATTTATGTGGAACACGTGTTTGGGGCGGTGCCAACTTGCCTCGAGAGAGTGAGGTGGGCGGAGCCAGACAAAAATTCTGTAGAACGGTTCCAGAACACTCCAGACACCGGAAAAAAGTGGATTAAGGTCAGCAGAGGGTCGTCGGTGAAGATTGTGGGGCACAAAAATTGTGGGGGGTCTGCTCTGAGGTGGGCGGAGTCAGACGAAAAATCTGTAAATAGTTTCAGAGCACTCCAGACACCGGAAAAAGTGGAGTACAGAACAAAAGGCGGATATCAGTTGAGTCTAGAAATATGTGAAAGAAAATACGCGCGGCGAAGCCGCGCCCGCCCGGCGCAGCCGGGCCGTATCAGAAGGAGCGCCGGCGTCAGCCGGCGAGCCGACTGGTAAAATAATATATTAGGTTGGTGCATAAGTTCTTAGCCCCGTGTTTGATCCTTCCGTATTTCGTTTGCATGGATGTTGGTATATCGTCATCACGTGTGCGTGACGCACTAGCTATCACTCATCCACATTGCATTTGCAGGCCACAATGTCGCACAATTTCCACTGTGACAAAATGTACCTGCGCCACTTTAGCTGTGCATCTGTAAAATTTGGCGAAGCTAACCACAGAGGAAGTTCTCTGGTTTTACTTCACGATTCACAAAAGAAGTTCCACTTTCTCAACTCGATGATCACTGGAGATGAGAAGTGGGTCCTCTACGATAACCCTGTGAGGAAGCGGCAGTGGGTCGACAAAGGAGAACAGCCAGAAGCCACCCCAAAGGCCGACCTTCACCCCAAGAAGGTTCTCCTGTCCTGTTGGTGGTCCAGAAGAGGCATGGAGCTGCTGGAGAAGGGACAGATTTTAGACGATGACGCTCACTGTTGAGATATTTACGAAAAAAATCGTGGCTAAGAACTTATGCACCAAAGCATATGATAGCATATTCTGTTAGTGCACTTATGCACTAAGAATATGCTATGCAATAGTTAGCGCGTGAGACGCTGCAACGAGCTCACCTCATTGCTTACATTCTTCAGAGCGTCTTTAACTCCTCCAGCGGCCTCGTGGCCCATCTCCATTATCTTTTCTCTGCTCTCCTTGCTGAGGGGACACCATGACTGAAATGTCTGAATTTGTTCTGCAGCCCGTCTTTGCGTGTACTGAGTGAATTGGGCACCTTCAGCGAGATCTAACCAAGCGAAAAGGGCCGAGGAAAGCCACAAATCCCGAATTCAAGTCTTTCGAATTAGCCGACATCCTTCACCGCTACGGTGGATCCCTCAACCCCTCATTACCTCTCATATCCTTTAAGTTCGGCCTGGGGTGCTTTTGGGACTTTGCTCATTTCATCGATTGTGCCTCCCGCGAAGACCTGTGAACTCATTGCACAATTTTTTCTGAATACAAGGAGCCTACAGGCTTGCAGGAACGATGGATGGCCCAAATGCAAAAATTTATGTGAGAAGGGTAGTCAAATGGAAAAAACCTTGTGCCAGTTTCGCAGTGGAAAGTTGTATTGTATAAAATACATAAGGCGCAAAGTTGCTCCAGTGGCATATCCCTTTGTCCAGTGACTCCGCCAGACTCCGAATTCACCCCTTCCAGCCAAAAGCGATGATGCTGAACAAGTA